AACGAAAAGGTGTGCATCCATCCGTCAGACGATCGTACGGGTCCAGAAACTGACCAGTACCGTGCCCATATTCCCACTACCTGGTGTCGTCCGATCCTACCCGGCAAGCGATCCRTTAGAACCCAGTTCCAGATCCCTGGTCCTGGTGCCCAAAACAAAAAAGGTTTTTTTATTTTATTTTTATTTTTTGGAAAGCAGGGTACAAAACCATCCGGAGCAGCTAACCCCTACTGCACAATATACCCCATACAGCCCGTGCCCTTCCAATTCGGTGAGCCAAAAAATTCGGTGACTGAGCACACCCTCGTGCTACCTGATCTACCACTGTTGGTGAGGGTAGACCTGTGGGATCAAAGATCCCCAGGGACCACCCACCACCCTGACGAATCTGGTCAGGGATCCGAAGAAGACCTCTGGTGGATGACCCCGAAGGCATGCTTCTTTGACCAGGCAGATGATGGAAGTCAAGGTAGCCTCATCGTCCATTGAGGATCTCCACAAGCGCAGCATCGATGCCGTCAGAGTCATCCTCTTCACCTTCTTAGCAGAATACGAAAAATAGTCCTGCATAGAGTGATAATGCAGCTTCCCATCCTTACACAAAACGGATACGAAAAATAGTCCTGCATAGAGTGATAATGCAGCTTCCCATCCTTACACAAAACGGATTGGTTCTTCGTCCTTGGAAACACGTGTATCTTTGGTGGGCAGGGCTCGATAAAAATCCTGCAACCAAGGAATTCCCAGGTGTTACTCCCATCATCCTTCTTTACCAACTTAAGGGACAGCGGATAGCAGCTCTTGAAGGAGTCAACAATGTTCAGAGTCTTCAAGTAACTTCCTAGTAYGTCAGTTGTGAAGCAGACCAATAGTGACACATCGTCCACCATTCTCACACCCGAAACAAGGCGTTGGTTGGTACCAAGTGCTGCGAGAAAGTCGAACTCGGCTTTCGCACACAACACATCTGCCAATGYCGGTGATGAATGCTTCCCCATAGGGATGCCGAAGGTCTGTCGATATACTTCCCCGTCACAGACTGTGTAAGTGTGCCCCAATTCATGTTGCAGTATCATACTCAGCTGCTCAAACCGGATACAGACATAGCCATCCTCCTTACGGAGGCTCCTCGCCATCCGACACACTTTACCTCTCACACTCAGCTTAACTGCAATGAGCCCACGCCTCTGATGATAGTCTACCAACGAGGCGACAGAAGACACAATGTCATAGTGGGGCAACTTGGCAAACATATCCTTGATATCAAAGCTCATTCCAACTACCGTATCATTGATCCTCCCTAGCTTCCGGACTGTGCTTCAAGTCGTCTGTGGATCGCAKACTAAAGTGACAGCTTTCCGGCAGGCATCTGAGCATGTATCGCACAGCTCGCCCCAACCTCATGCTTGCCATTCGCGAYGGCTCAGACCATGATGGTGATATCGGTCGCCACCTGTTCAGATCCTTATCCTTCGGGATGACATAGGCCTTGCCTATCCTACCACRAGTACGCCACGTGGCCACGGTGTGAAGGCCTGCGTTCGCATAGTTCTTCTTGGCAACAAAGAGAACCTGTGCCTCGGTCTCAGTCATCCTGAAAAAACCAGCATTCCAGCAAAACRTCGYGCGAAAAGCGTGAAAATAAAGTAGCGGATAAATTGTCAGTGTCGCACCGGGATTCCTGTCCATCGGGACAAGAATCAACGAACGCAAGTAACTAACCTCCATCTGAACTTGCTGTTCTGTCAAYGCCAACCCATGAGCACCATTGATCTTGTAGYAGCCTTTGAAGTCTTCACTCGAGAGTTGTAACAAGCTATCCCTCCATCTCCTGGGGATGCATCGGATGATGATTTCACCCAACTGAGCCTTTGACAGAGTCCTTCCCTTAGTCACATTCTTCGAATTGTGAAGGAAGAGGTGTAAGCCTTGGACCTCGTCCAGACGAACCCGTACATGTCCCTGATGCCGGGTAAGCGCAAAATCCCCACARCTGCAGGCATCTTRCCTCCTATCCAAGGCCTTCCTATAGTTATGGATTACATCACCCATCGTCTTGCATTTCAGCTTCACGACCCTCATCCTTTCAACAACAATCGATCGGATAGCGTGGTCCTTCACTGATAAAGAGATCACCTTCGCCATAACG